CTGAGTTAGTCCACCAGGCTTTGAATGATTCTGCTGATCTTGGAGATATATACCTTAAAATTGCAATAACCGGATATTCATCGTCTTTTATAATTGGGATCAGATTAAAAATATTCACATCGCTAAATACACAGATTACTACCCTGAGTAAAGGGCCTCAATGCTTCGGTCTGAGTGGTTAAAATTTAACAATATTTTCTCTTCACCTTGTCTCTTCGTTGATCACGCTAATGTTAAGCCGTTTGACACGACGATCCATCAAGGTGCATATCATAGCTTTTGAGGTCTAGGATCTTTTTGCAGATTTCAAAAATAATTTTCTAGTCGCTTGGATTTTCCTCGAATACCCCGATCTGCACATTTGTCCTAGGGTCTGATTCTCAAGACTCAATATTGCTATTCAGGACTCACTCAGGGACTCATCACAAATAACGCATGTGGCACAATAACTCGAGGCAGTCTTCTTTTACCAGTATCTACATGCGGTTTCGTGAAACGTACGGATAAGTCTTGTCATTTCGTAGCCTCTTCTTGAGGTTTTAATTCCCTTTGGCAAAAAAGCAATGACAATCAAAGATCCCCACGGGTGACAATCTGTGTTAATTTGGCTGAACAATATCGCAACCCACAGCTGTATGTGTAAGTACATACATCTATGGTCTCGACTCTTGAGTTCGTGTTTTTGGCATCTGATATCCCAAGATGGCACATGCAATGAGGACAACATATATTATTGAGGTGTCGTAATAATCATTCACAAGGCTAAATAGCATTAGTATCCTTGAAAACTGCATGTGTACAGTTCAAGCTGAGCATGAGACCCTCTATTGCTCTACGCTATCCTCTAGTGTCTGAGGTCGTAAGTGTTGACTCTCTATCTTTTACTCATTGACCGTGAATTGTTTAAAGACTAATTTACTTGAACCAATGAATGAGACCTTGCATGACACGCAATCCCGATTTTAGATATTGAGTTTGACATAGTGTTAGTTGTTCACTAATTACCCATAGAGCTGTATCAAGAAATGCTCTGCCGTATAAACTCAGTACATATTCAGCAACTCCTTCTTCATATTCATGTTGAGTTCAATTCTGATGCTATATATGGTCAACGACTTGAGTAAGACCAGTTTGTGTTTATCTTCTAAGAAAGTCTGGTGTGCTCAAGCATATATTTTATAATGAATAATGGCGGAATATTAATCTTCTCTTGCCTTCACTTCCAAGGTACTGAACCTTTTTACTTGACTAAATTTCACCTCAACCAAATGATCTTCATAGCACAAACTCACTATAATTGACTTTTGAGTATGTCTAATACTTTCACCGTACCTTGAGCTCTGAAAATTGATTTCATATCACATATTTCCATGCTTCATTTGGACGATCTTACATCTACGCTATTACGTTTGTTCAACTTTGTTTGCGGCAGTCCAGGGTATCTGATCAACTAAGAACTACGGCCCTCCATTATGTATTCGATACTTACTACATCCGAAACAACGAATAACTAACACTTGATCTCATGTGCCGGAACTCACAGAGCCATTTTATTTATGGCGATACATTCGTTGAACGCAACATATGCTCTATCTTTGCTATTAAAAAGCAACTATGTGTGTCACTACCAGTAACCTCCAAAGCAGTGTCTGGTGTGCTATTTCTCCAGTTGATTACCGGTAAAACATTGTGTCAAAATTGTCATTGAAGCAAGTCTTTCTTAGATATCAATCTCTATAGTACATCTCAAAGCTTCAAGACCAGGAGGAATGGGTCGTTAAAATTCGTTGGCTGGGTATTCGGTTTTTGGTAGTAAACATAGACGTTCATTTATCTGATGGTCCTGATTGTATCTGCCACTAGACAAGCCCTTTAAACTCAACTACCTTTCATAAATACCAGCAACTTTGTCCATCATTCATGGTCAATAGCGGTCTTGAGGCTCACAGATGTGTATATTATGAGAGCTTGCGGTTCGCTGCGTAGTTTCAGAGTTATCCACTCTCGCTATTACCATCTTAGAGCTACTTCACCTCAACTCATCAATAATCTTTGTTTTTAATTTATGCCTCAGGTATGATTCCACTAGTATCCAGCGACAGATTTTCAGTCAAATTAATCAATAATAGGGTCTTTTCTACAAAGTCCATCCCTTAGTGTAGAAGCCTTTAATAGCAGCTCGTTTTCAACGGTTTTCATGCACTATTGCTTATTTTGCATAAGGCTGTGCACAACAAATGGAACTCTAAAATTGATCACCGAGATTAAAAACTCACTCTAACGATGACAATTGATTCAACTTTGAAACCGTCTAAAAAGTCTTCTTTGTTGTTGTTCCTGATATTAAAATAGACCTATACTAAATAGAACAATCAACTTTGAGTTCATTTTGATTTTTTTGTTGCCATAAGCGATTTCAAGATCCATACTTTGCTTATTTTTCCCTCTTTCCGTTGCGACGGCCCCTTACAAAGCACCAAACTGAGATGTCGGTTGATTACAACATTATCAGGTCCTCGTGTTAGCAATGTGGTTCTAAGTGCGGTTCTCGAGTCGCTACAAGCGTTTCAGATTTTGAAAAGATCCGTCACTTGTGAAGACTACGGCCACAACACTAAATGTTATTAACAGTTTATCAAATACTAGCATAAATATGTATAGATATAATAACAGGAGTAGTTATTAATTGCCAGTTTACCAGACTTGTAGCTCCTCAAACAAGTCAACCCTTTTAGAGCTCTTCTCAAAGTTTTGACCAACCA